AAAAGACAAATATGCTAATTTACTGTACCTTCGCTATGCCCATCAGCCAATCAGAAGAGTATGCAAATTAACCCAACAAAGATAGCTGTTAAATTTGCATACTGCAGGCCGGGCGGGGCAGCGCCATCCGCTGCCTGCTCCGCTTCGGGATCGGGCCTGCCGTGGGCGACCCGGGGAGGCGGGGCAGGCACCGTGGGATAGGGCCTGTCATCTGCCACCCAGGGAGCAGGTCTAAGCCAGCAGGTGGTTATCTCCCCAGAGGTCCCAGACTGTGAGAAGGCACAGGTCGGGCTGAGGGACAACCCCCCACCGGCCAGTGCACAAATTTTTGTGCACCGGGCCTCTAGTTTATTTATAAAAAAAAAAGTTCCATCATTTCAATGTATATACATATGTGCTTTGTTTTGTATTATTTATTTATCACAAGTAAAGGTCAGAAATTGTTATCTTCCTTTTAAATTTTTTTAATGTTTCACTTCATTACTGCTGTGTATGTGCTCCATGTGAGTGACGTAGGTACTTATGTAGGTAGGTGGGTTCAGACGTACAGCAAAAATCGCATTACATCGCACTGTAGGAACGACATAACCAGAGGACCTACTGTATTTGTTTCAGAAGTTTACCTGACAAATAAAATAGCCTGTGTTGATCCTTGCACTTAAGTTTCTGTGATGGAAATTACTCTTACCTGAGGCTGAAGCTGAAGGCAAGGAAATGCTGTGAGGGCCCAGGCCACTTGTTCCTCATTCTCTGCCAGCGTGATGGTGCAGGTGCTGTAAACAAGCACTCCCCCTGGCCTCAGCAGTTTCACTGCCTACAGAAAAACGGAGTCAGACTACATGTACCACCAGCCTAAATAAACATAGTAAGGGATTTTATATCTATATCTTTCAAATATTTCGGATAAATAAAATGATGTTCTGTATGACCAGGATTCTTTCCTAAATAGATATTCCAGACTGGATACATCTGATTATCTTAGAGCCATTTGGGCCAAGACTTTCCCAAATCGGATCATTTGGTTTCATAACTTTAGTTACCAAATTTATATTTTTAGGCGAGTTTTCCTTCTAAATTCCATACCAATATACTTGATTGCCTTCTCAGTATCTCTACTATAGAATTTGATATGTCCCAAAGTGAACCCCTATCTTCTGAAACCTATTGGAGACGTATTCCTATCATTCCAAATGTTCAGGTCCCAAATCTTAGATTATCCTTTATCACATTCCTTTCTCACATTCCCAATACATCAGCAAATCCTATTATCTCTACTTTCAAAATATACCCAGAATTTGGCTACTTCTCACCACTTCCATGGCTACCGTTCTGATCCAAGTCTCATGGTCTTTGCCTGGATCGCTGCAAGTCTCCTACTTAGTCCACATCTTCTCCTTGCCATTCTACAATCTATTATCAGTATGGTAACCAGAACACTACTTTCACAACTTACCACTTCTCAGCTCAGAGCCCTTCAAATGTCCTCCATTATCACCTGGAGTCAAAACCCAAGTCCTGACAGTGGCTGTCAAGCCCCTACACAAAGCAGGAAGCTTGCTGTCTCTCTGACCTCGCCTTGAACACCTCCTCACTCTGCTTTAGCAACACTGGCCTCTGCTGTTCTGGAACAAACATGGCACACTCCCCCCCCCACCCCCCACCCAGGACCTGTGCACAAACTTGGAAACCTCTCCTAATTCTCCTCATTGCTTGCTCTTCACAATTTTATCTCTGCTTACATGTCACCTTTCTAGCAATGCCCACCCTGACCACCCTATGTAAAATTGCAATTATTTCAATCCAGCACTCCTATTCTCCCTTCCTTTCTAATAACTTACTCATCTATTTGTTCATTTTTCTACCCAATCAGAATTGAAACCTCATGAATAAGGGCAGAAACTATTTTTTCATTACTGTGTTATCTACAAAATATATTACATAAAATAGGTGCTCAATAAATGATTCCAATAAATAAATGAATCAGAAAATAAGGTGTTATACAAAACTAAATTTGTTCTAAATAACTAAAGTTTATCTTTTTAAAATTTTAATGAAAATCTTTCAATATATATTATATATATATACTAGAGGCCCGGTGCACAAAAATTTGTGCACTCGGGGGGGTCCCTCAGCCCGGCTTGTGCCCTCTCACAGTCTGGGACACCTTGGGGAATGACCACTTGCTAGCTTAGGCCCGCTCCCCAGGGGATTGGGCCTAAGCTGGCAGTCAGAAATCCCTCTGGCAGCCTGGCCCCAGCAGGGACCCTCACCCCATGGTGGTGTGGCCAGCCTGGGTGAGGGGCTGAGGGCCATTTTCAGGCTGCCCACAGCTCCTTTACGGTGAGAGGGTCCCGCTGGGGTGCCTGGCCAGCCTGAGCAAGGAGCTGATGGCCGTTTTCAGGCTGGTCACGGCTCCCAGCGACCCAAGCTCCCAGGCTCTCCTTTTTTTTTTTTTTTTTTTAGGGGGGCTGGAAGCAGGTATCTAGGATTTATTTATCTTCTATAATTGAAACTTTGTAGCCTTGAGCGGAGCCCAGGTCCAGCCGCAGGCGGGAGGAAGCTTGGCTTCCTCCATTGCCGGGGGCAACCCAAGCCTTCTGCTCACTCCAGCTCCGTGGCCGCCGCCATCTTAGTTGGGTTAATTTGCATACTTGCTTCTGATTGGCTGGTGGGCGTGGCTTGTGGGTGTAGCAGAGTGACAGAGTGATGATTAATTTGCATCTTTCTCTTTTATTAGTGTAGATATATATATATATAATGTATACTTATGCTTTTAAGTCAGAGTATGCTGATCAAAATTTAAATTTTGTTACTGTGGGCCAGCTATTATTTTAAGCATCGTACATGGGTTTTCTCAATAAATCTTTTGAACAAATATGACTTATGGTTACTCTCTCCACTGATGTAAATTAGGTAGAGTTACTGCCTCCATTTCTCAGATATGTAATCAATGTACCCAAAGTCACTTATGGAGAGGATGCATGACTCTAATCAAGATTTATCTGATTCTGGCATTCCTCAAGAGACAAGAAAATTCTCAAATAAGCAATGAAGCCTTACAACTAAAGAAACTAGAAAAAGAAGAACAAAATAAGTCTAAGGTGAGTAAAAGGAAAATAAAAATACAGATCAGGGCAGAAATAAAGAAAATAAAGTCTAAAAGAAAACAACAGAAAATATCAATGAAACCAAGAGCTGGTACTTTGAAAAGATAAACAATATATATATAGCTTTAGCCAGACACATCAAGAAAAAAGAGAGAGGGCCCAAACAAATAGATTCACAAAAGAAAGAGAAGTCACAACTAACATCACAGAAATACAAATGCCAATAAACAGGACAACCTGGGGAAAAAACGGATAAATTCCTAAAACAATACAATCTCCCATGATTGAATCAAAAAAAAGAAAAGAAAATCGGAACAAACCAATAAATAAATCAATCAAATAAGTAATAAAAAACTCCCCCCAAAAAAACCTCCCAATGAACAAAATCCCCAGAGCATATGACTTCATAGGTGAATTTTACCAAATATTCCCCCCCAAAAAATACTTAGCCTTCTCAAACTATTCCAAAAAAATAAAGAAAACTCTCAAACTCATTTTATAAGATAAAATCAGGAGGAACCAAGATGGCGGCATAGGTACACCCTTGTACTTGCTGCCTTGCACAACCACATCAAAACTACAACTAAAAGACAAAACGGGTATTATCCAGAACCTAGGGAAGGCTGGATGAGTGGAAATTCTACACTATATAGGATAGCCCAGATATGAAAGCAACCTAAGTGTCCATTGATAGATTACTGAATAAAGAAGATGTGGTAACTATATACAATGGAATATTACTCAGACATAAAAATAGAGTGAAATCTTACCATGAAGGACAACATAAATGAACCTAGAGAATATTATGCTAAGTGAAATAAGTCAGATAAAGACCTAAGCAGCCATTTTCTCCTGCAGAGTTAGCCCCTCCCAGCAGCCTCCAGACAACCAATACAGCCACACCCAAACTACACCCTGAGTGGAACAAAGGTCACAAAAATCTGAATAGCTCCTAAGAGCCTTCAGGGACTGGGTTGAAGAGAGACCTTTCAGTCCCAGAAAGCTGCGGTGCGGAAGTTAAGTGCACAGGTACGGAGGTGGATGCGGAAAGGGCTGGCGGTTGAGGACACGGTTGGCTTTTTCAATTGGGAGGGAGTCTCAAACTCCCGACTGCTCTGAACTCCAGTTCCGGGCGAGTCTCTGGGGACCCTGACTGATATGGGGAGAGGCTAGACCAGGGGTGGGCAAACTTTTTGACTCGAGGGCCACAATGGGTTCTTAAACTGGACCGGAGGGCCGGAACAAAAGCATGGATGGAGTGTTTGTGTAAACTAATATAAATTCAA